AATAGGGTCAGATTTCCTTTTTTTTTTTTTTTTTTTTTGCAGGCCTCTGTTCCTCATGCATGCTCAGTTAAACACACCTGTTTGTATTTTCAGGGAGTACCCTCTTTCCTGTAGCTTCTACCTGGTCCCATCTCTACTTCTTAATTTAATTTAATCCTGATATTCTAGACAAAAGATCCTGGTAGGATACAAAAACTCCTTATGGTCCCATGTCTTCAGCCTTCTGTAAATCAGATTGTTTGCAAAAGGAGGTAGAGATGGGCCTGAAGATGCCAGCTTTCACAGTGTTACCTCCTCAGAAGTTGAAATGGTGTCTGCATAGCATCTTCCCTCAACTTTTGCAGCTGTTCCTTTGTCTTGCCTTCCTAACTCCCTTGCAGTGTGACCAAACCCCACACAAATACACAAACTTAAAGTCAAGGAGGTGAGAGATTAAAAAAATAAATAAATTAATTAAATAAAGCACATTACAACTTTGTCCAGATGGTTAGCAAAACTAGATGGGTTCTTATCAGCATCTTCTTCAGACTCAAGTTGGCTGGGCTACAGTAAAATGGTTGCTTGCTCAGACGTATGGCAAATCCAAACATCAGCTAAATAATTTTTCTCTTTTTGAAAGAAGCATCATGTTGCTTTAGTCTTTTCTTTTGTGTGTGTGTGTGTTTGCTTTCTGGTATGGCTGCCAGTTGCATAATGTTCATGTTTCACTTGAGATGACCAAAGCAGACTCCAACTGCTGAAGAAGAAATAAACAAAACCTGACACACTGCATGCTGTTATGTTTTGTTATAGTGCAGCAACAGATTCAATATCTGAGTGGTGCACGCAGAAATTCCAGACTTGAAGTAAGAAAATCAAAAGGAAATACTTTGTTTTCTCCTAAAACTATTTTGATTACTTTATTCTTCTTTTGTTCCAGTACTGTTGCTGCAAGTTTCCTTTAATACTAATTGGTCAGTTAAGACTAAATGTATCTTCTTCTCTCAGTCATACCCACTCTGAGTACTATGGAGAAGATCAGTTCTCTAGTTTTGACCGTCACACACCTCTCTTGCCATTCTTCCATTTGCTCTCCTCTCCTGTCCTGTTAAACATAAGTCACTTGCTTTCACTTTCAAAGACTTTCATGAGCTCCAGCTCCCTGACTGGTTTTTCCTCAGCATTGAAATCAGCTGCTATCCCCTTTGATCTTCTCATATACAAGAAGCTGCCTATACTCATCCACATAGCTTTTGCCTTGTTCTACTTCACCTTAAAAGGTGATCTCTTTGTGGTTGGTTGTTTTTTTTTTTTTTTTCTTTTCCCTGTGAGACCTGTAAAAGGTTGACAAAACCATGGAAACTGGTGTGCTGTGTCCAGTCTGGCTCTTTTTATGCACTGTCCCTTCTCTTAGGAAACTTTTAGGAGCGACAAAGATTACTTTTATTTCTGATTTTGAACAGGGCCCAGTTTAATATAGGTACTTAGGTTCCTAATTGCTATGGTAACACAAACAATAAGAAATAACAAAGAAATCAGGATCACTTCATTTGCTACATTGCAAATACTGAAATTCTGCATTTTCTGTCTATCTAGGCTGCAGACGCAGCATACTTGCCCAGTCTGACTTGTGGCACACAATAACCTTTAAAATAGAGACTTTCATTTTAATAGCATTCTGTTGCCTCCTCAGTAAGAAGACTTAACCTAGGATTTCTCTAGTCAAAGCCATACACATTTATGATTTAGGTTTCTCTCCCACTCCAAACTCTCATAGCTAAAATCCTCTGAGACTTGAATGATCTCATTTCAGGACATATCTGCAGTGAAGCATTTTTGACAGCTGGCTGGCTAATATCTCTACTTAATCTTTTAGAATAAATGGACTTACTCCTGTTTCAAAGAACAACAAACTCTTGGCAGGTCTTTTAGTCAAACTTTCTGAAGCCAGATATGTACATCTGACATGAATTAATTTCAATACCACAGCAGCTGATTAGCTAAATGTCTCCAGGTATTTTGAAAAATGCCCATTTTTGCACAGTATATATACACAGAATTGTGTATAATGCATTATACAGTATACACCACTTTTGAAGAGCAGATCATCTAAATAGCCAACTGACACTGGTGACTCACTATTATAAGCACTTTGCTAAGAACAGCTGAAGTGGCTACTGCCCTTGGTTGTTTCCCTTACTAGTCTTTAAGTTGTTGCAGCTCTTATCAGGAGTGGCTGTGCTGCATGTGCAGCAGCTCCTCAGACACCAACATTTACAGCTCTGTGTGTTAAACTGGTTATTAAACTGGCAACTCCAGATTGCTGTGACCTCTCAGGAGCCAGGGAAGTAACAGGAGAGGGGTGTGTAATGGCAGGGATGTGGGTGAATAAGATGTTCTGAAGGGTAAAGGAAAAAAGTGAGCAGAAATGTAAAGAGCGGTTACTATTTGGAATGTAAAAGGAAATGCAATAGATGCAGAGTTTGTGAAGAGATTTGAGAAAATATTTAAAATAATGAGACCAGTGTTTAGGGCAGATGCTTTTTGAAGTGTAATTTAGATTTGCAGATTAGTTTAGAGGAATTGGAGGAAGATGGCACAGAGTTTCTAGAAGGCTTGGTAAGCCAAGTTATGTGACAGACAAAACAGAATGAGTCAAAATCCAGGCAAGGGTCTTGAGGCAGTAAATATGAAAATGCCATAAAAATTCCTGAAACTGATGTAAAACTGCAGTGGCCCACTAGACTCTCTTCCAAGAAATGTGTAGAAAAGGACAGAACATTTTCCCTAATAATGAATTTGTAAAAGCATACTGCACCTTATTAACTCACGTTTCCCAAAATCCCACCCAGTTCTTTCCTGATGCTAAGTTAATTAGGTTGTTCTCTTCATGTCAGGGAGTAACATAATCACACATATGCTAACCAGGCTACCTTATCAGGGAAAACAAGTGTCAGAAGTGTTGTTAATCATGATACATGAGTTTTTGAGGAGTACAAAAGCCTTCTACAAATGGCAGAGTTTAATTCCATAGGCACTTCCACAGTCCGTTACTACCCAGCCAGGAAATGGGTAACCCACATTCGTGCTTGTTGCTTTTTAAGACAGGGAATGTGGAGATCCAGGGTAAGGCAGAAGGCCAGTTACATCTCTTGTTAAATCCTATTATTAAATGAGCTTGCTTTAAGGGCAAAGTTGATCCACAGACTACACTTTGCCTTACATTAATTTGACTACTTTCATATTTCCAGATTAACTGCAACACCAGAGAAGAAGAAGAGCAATGATTAAAATTTGAGCTTTTCTGAATTCTCTGCACTCCTAGCTACAGATACTCTCCTCTCCAGTGTTTGTTTTGAAATCCTGGAAAATACACTTTGTAAAAAGATCTCATTGCATGCCCAGGCACATCCAAACTTTCCACTTGTTCTCAGACATTGGACACCGGTACTATTCTCAGTTGGAAAAGGACATCAGGGTTGGACAAGGAAATGAGGTCTTGTAGCACAGTTCAGTGTTCATATTTCAGTCTCGTCATATACATGTGTTAATGTTATTATTTTATGCCCTATATTCTTTAATGGTACTATAATCAAGCGTGGCATTTTACAAATCTAATTAGGCAGAAATCCTGGCATGTGTTTTATTTTAGATTTATCTTCAATATGAAAAATACCAATAATTTGAGCTGAGGTCATCTAATCAGATAAACTTTGTGTTGGTGTATCCATAGTTCTTATGTCCTCTGCCCATTGTCTCCAGTGCTTCACAGTACCAACTGATTCTGATCTTGCTTACAAGCCAGTTTCTGCAGCTGCTGGCTTCTTCGTCCTCTGGAAGTACGTCATGATGTAGGAATACTCCTACTGGCTTTTGCTGGGCTTCTCACAGAGTAAGGTACATGTCCACATCAGAGTCTAGATCTGTCTTTCTGAGGACATGACTACATTATATCATGGAGTGACATTAACAGAGTGGTGTAGTCATATTCGGTTCAGTTTTGATGTCTGGCTTTATTACAGCCCTTGCAGAGAGTGCTTCTGTTGTTCCCAGGGACTTAGTCCTGGTTAGACCCTATGGACTACACTCTCCTGTAAATCAAGCTTAAAATTTTGCTTCTCTATGAAGGCACTACACTACAAAACGCAGGAAAGTGAATAAAGACTCTCCTTTTGTGTTGCTAACCAGGAAGTGACATGTAATGGTGAGAGCAAGTAAAAGGAGTATACATACTCATGTCTTTTTTTAATAATTTTCTTTTTGATTCCTGAGAGAAAACCAAGCAGAGGCTGCATAGAAGGTATTAGCAGCCAGTGACTGTGCTGGCCATTTCTGTTTCCATATGGCATATATGCCTTTTTTTTTTTTTTTTTTTTTTGGGGGGGGGGGGGTGGTGCGGGGCACAAGAGAAGAAATGCACCCACAGGATAAGCAGAAAAAGGTCCCAACAGTTTTATTTCAATTTTCTAATTGCTATCATATTGTGCTGTTAGCAGTAAACTGCAACTGCCAGCTGAAGCAGTGGGGAAAGCTGCTACAACTTCCATCTATGGCATGAGCCACTGTGCGCATCAGCATAGCAGGTACATCTGGGTGCTTTTTAGGATGGGTCAGAGAGGAAATTTTTTCACATTCTGTTGAACTGGTTCTGTATAAAGTTTTGGAAGTCTCTGCTCTGAACAGCCTGTTATGATTTAGTAGTAACAGAGTACATGTGTTTGGCATGTCCCCACATATTGTGTCTGCATTCAGTGTATTTACTCCTCTGTGCACTGAAGTTGCTTTTGGTGACTGATATCCTGAAAACCTCATATGGAGTCTGAGGAGCTCTCCAGTTCTTCTGATTTGCTGAGGGTTGGTGACTGATCTTAAGAGGCACCTGAGTTTACTAATGTAAATTTCAATCAGTTCCATGCCGATTCATCTGCTGGGACTCAGCAAAGGGAACGGTGCTGCACCTGAGCTTGGTGAGATTGGCTGGTACAGAGGGTGGTCATACAGAGCCACGACAACAGGCAGGAGGGTGTTAATCTGTTTTTATAGGTGGAGTCAGCATCTGCTGTATACATGTAAAGTCAATACTGCTGTACTTCCAGGTAAAAATTTAGTTAGTGTCTTAACTGAGCAAACTAAAAAAAAATTTTAACAATTCTGCAGTGTGCAGGCTGTTCATAGTAGGGAAAAGACCAGGCCAATCTCAGAAAAAGTAAACCTGTGCATGAAATCACATCTCAGTAAAGCCGACTCTTTGTGAGTGACAGCATAATGACTTGAGGATCTCTCTCTTACATTATAAGTATCAGCCTACTTTTTTTCTATTAGATAGTAAGATTTTCAGACCTTATTTAATTCCCTATAAAGGAAAGTGAGATGCTTGAAAAAGGTGGGATCTTGCTCTGTATCACATTAATTTAATGAAAAGGAGTGAAAGAAACAGTCCAGAATGACACCTGCATGTGAGGTTACTAAACAAGTTAAAACCCAGTGATTTGGTTCTTTGTTTGTAAAAACTCCGCTGGCACCAGCAAACTGCAATTTCCTCCTTGGGAAAACACACTCAGGTGCCAGGGAGATAGCGAGCATAAAAAGCTCAGTTTTACAGATAATTAATGTTTCATAACAGCTATCAGGTCTGACTTCCATGTGTTTTTTTAAACCAGACATTTAGCAACTGATTGGACGGTAAAGTATTTAAACATTGGCTACAAGTCTGGTTAATGTCCTGCTACCCAGGCAGTGGCTTCTGAAGTCCACTGAATATTGCTTTCGGTTGCCGATTCTGCCATTTCCAGTCAACAGAGAGAGTGCCAGCCATTGGTATAAATGTTCAGGTGGAGGGGTCTGAAGAGGATACCCATGCTTGATCCACGTTAGACAATGCAGCTCTACAAGAGCCCCTTCTCCATCCTCACACCACAGGCTGGTCACCCACCTGCGGAGAAGAGGAAGCCAGCAGGCAGCAGCCACGGAGGCAGCACCCACCCCTCGCAGAGCAGGAGAGCCGGAGCACAAAGTGAGACAGGCAACCCCTTGGCCATGGAGACTGCAGGTAACCTTGCTAAAAAGCAGCCTCCCACACTCAGGCGTATAACACACGTTCCTCGCGTAAATCCAAGCTACGACACCTGCGCTTCTCTAGCAGAAGACAGAGAGGACAAAGCACAGCAGAGGCCTTCTGTGATAGAACTCCCCAGATGCTCTGCTAAAGATGAGCAGATATGAAATCAACTTGGAGAGAAGAAGAAGGAAATATTAATATTCTGCCTTTTGGTCTCAGTATTCAAAGAGATTTTGGTTCCTGAACAAAACCACAGAATTACTTTAAGGTTCAGGTATTTTACTGCATATTTCAGCTACTCAGGTGAGAACAGTAATAAATGCTTCAATTAAAGCTGTCCAGTTGCTGAAGGTTACTTATATCTAGGCAAAAAAACCCAACCCTTGCTGCTGTACATGAAGATATGAGTTCAAATGTATACCAGTTTAGAACAATGGCTACTTGCCAAAATTTAGTCCAAATATTATTTTCAACACAAATACATTTTTCATTTAAAGTGGGATTTAACGTACACTGAAACAAGACCTGCTGAAGCATGCATTTATATAATGATTGACAGTGTAACTCTAACTAGTAAATAGCAGATTTTTCCCATGAAGACAAAATTCCAGTAAAGTCCTGCTCAGCCCAAAGCTAGGATGAGGATTTGGCTTAGGATATGGGATTGGGATAATGACGGTTTCATCACCCATTTCCAGCTGAATGGGTTTGATATCCACACCAGTGAAGCATAGCATTAGGGTTAGAGTTTGGGAAGCAAGGATCCTCATCGTTGGAGTAACATTGAAAACCTGCTCCACCCAAAGAGGTAGATGAAGATGGACTCAGGATGAAGTGGTACGTCATCATAAATTTTGAACAGGGAGGTTTATCATCTACTCTGTAGAAGGGTAGGGTTAGGGTTGAGTTTAGGGCTAGGGAAATCAAAGACCTCAGAGCTGAAATGCCAGCAACATCCTGCTCATCCCAGAGACCTAGGATGGCAGCTGGGCTCAGGACAGAGCTGTAGCTCCATGCACGTATGAAATCAGGAGCTGGTCTTATCTCCTGCAAGGAAAGCTGAGTTGTAAAGGTAGGTGATAGGTTAGTTATAGCTGAGTGCCACTGTATGATCCTTGGAGTAATGTTCAATTGACAAAAAATAAACTGTTCTTTCCAATATAGGCTACCTGTATTCTGCTATATATTCTACCTCTGAAAATAAAAAAATATTATTTTGTTTAAACAATATTTAAATGCAATTATAGTCTTTGGACATTACAGAATGAATCATATAAAAGAACATGCTGAAAAACATTTTGTAACAATCCAGAAAGAACAAAACACTACAGACAGTATTCTCTGCTGATTTGTACCAGATGATACATTATATATGTAAAAGTAAACACAATTAGACCTATTAACAGCAAAATAACATAATTGATTATTTATAAATAAGTGACTTTTACTTGTAGGCATGAGCAAACCAAAAAGCCATTGATAATTGCAGAAAACCTTTTCTATGGATGATGTCCCTTTTTCTTATTGGTTCTGTGCCTTTAACAACGTATTTTTAAGATTTCTTTGAGATACCAGCTGCTGAAGAAGCAGGGGAATGCCCCAATGTTCAAAAGCAACTTCATCATCCAGAGAACTGCATAATGAAAAAAAATAGGGTTGCCATGGTAAAATAGTATTTGTACACAAATAAATGCCCTGCGGTCAGTCTCTCCCTCAGATGACAGTACTTTTGCAGAACTTGGAAGAAAACAGAGGAGAAAGCCAAATATGAGGAGATGTGCAGAGATGGAAAATTGAAAAAAAAAGGAAGTGAGACAGAAGAAAAGGAAGATTTGTTGACTTCTGTTTAAAACCATTAGCTCCTACTTTTTAGGACTGAGGTGGATCTGTATGTGACATACCTTGCTGTAAAGTAGCTTTCCAGGGACTTCTTCATAAAACTGACACTAGGGTAATGAATTTCCCTGGCAGGGGCAAAATAACTGCCCAAAACAGTGCAGAAATTCTTCAGAGGAGAGTTGCCGTCTTTGAGAGAGGCCTCCAGGACTAGTTCAGCTGTGTCAGGAGCTTTTCTGTCTCCTGAGTCAGCAAAGAATTGTCAGACACCATGTCAGTATCGTATCCCTGGGCTTTGGAGTCCTACAGCTGGAAGTTTCTGCACCCACCTGGCTGCCAGGCTAGGATTTTGTGTGGGTTGAAGTCATGTAGTAATCCATCTCTCAGCTGGGTATCTCCTCCTGCCTTTGTCAGAACTTTCTCTTTGCCAGCATTGACAACATCTCTTCTCTTGAAACATGCTGAATAGAGCAAGGATATATATAGAGATAAAAAAGGAAAGACGTGTTCACAGCAGCAGCAGTTCCAGTTGCAACATCAAATAATAAGTATATGAGATTAAAAAAAAAAACAAACCAACAGACCAAACCAAACAAAAAAACCAACCAACCAACCCCAAAAAAAAAACCAACCACCACCACAAAACCAAGAAAACTGACATACATATGGTACTTTTGCCTCAAGGGGCTATAGCTGAAGTTTTACATATTTACATCCAAGTAAATAATACTCTATCTGACTGCAACTGCAAAGGAAATCAGGATATTTACTCTTGCTGGAGATTGCAGATTACCACAAAAAGTATAGCTTCACTTTTACAAACTTTCCCAATGAGGCAGCTCCAGCTGCTCCCCATTTTTCAGTTTGACACATACCATAAATGTACAGACCACAAGATAAATATATGTATAAAGCTGTACAGGCAGGTATTGCCACAGGGTTCCCCCCACGGCCTCTTCATGTTAAATGCCAGCATTTCAACAGATTGCATACAACAAAAAAAGATCTCTATAATGTATCGCTTACTTTGATTACAGGTCATAACTTGTTACTTACCTGATGAAAAACCTGAATGGCAGCTCCACAGTGTTCCTGCATATCCAACTGATCCTGACATTTGCCTTGTTTCATGGGGATAACTGGCCTTTTGTTTTGATCTGTGAACTTTGCGGCACTCAAGCAGTGTTTAAAATCTTTAAGGCAGCAGTTACTGCAATGGTATGAGAAAGGAAATTGTTGGAAGAAGAAAGGAGAAGGATGAAAGAGGTGGTTGGTTATTGTTTGGAATCATCCTTTTAATTCTTCAGCAAGAAGAAAGCATGCTAAACAACACAGATGTTTATATATTCAATGTTGTTTAAGCATTTAAGGCCTGCTTGGGGTTTCCTATCTTGATTTTATACTTCAGTCTAGTTCTTCCTGATTTACTTTGTGGTTGGTGTGAGGAGAGGGAGGCTTTCCAACCTGAAACGTTATGTAGCCCAAGTTAAGGGAGCACAGGATCCAAATAATGGATATATAACATCTTAAACCTTGGAGGTACAGAAAAATCCTTGTATGTTCTGGTCTTTAAAAGACAAGTTTCATGAAAGAGACGGCACTGTTTCATCATTCCTGAATCATTTTCCAACCAAAAAGCTTTGCCAATTTGAAAGTCTGCAAGGACAAAAAATATATCCCTCAGGTTAAAATATTTGTTCCCCAGGAATTATTAGAGGCAACTGTTGGACGTTATGAATTCTCCCTGCTTGGCAGAAGGAATGACTGAGTTACACCAATCATTGCTAAACAAAAAAAGACAGACCAAAAAAAAAAGTAAATCTAGAAACTTTAGAGGCTCTTCTTCCTGTTTTTAAAGCTAGCAAACAGATGAGGCTATTTCTTCTAAAGTTTTTCACTTAGACAAAAAAGAAAAGCCAAAATTACATCCCTTCTTGTGGCTGTGGTTTGCACTGTCAGCTGGTTTGATCAATGTCTGCAAACAATCTGTGTATGCACACTGGTCATCTCACACCAGGCCAAAATGATCAGATGTGCAAGTAGTGGTCTTTGCACTAAATGTTGCACTTAGTGGTAAACAAACAAATTTCAGTCGCCAGCAAAATGACAGATCCGTGGCTTCATTGCAACCATGCAGAGAGAAAAGCAGTGAGGATTACAGTAGATGGCAAGGTCCAAGGGGGAAAATGACTAATTAATGACACTGGGTATGAGATTACCACAGCAATGTGCTGTCGTGGACTGAGTAGCATGACTGGCTTACAATATATGGATATTTTTCTTTGAGTTCTGTTCTCACCTGTTTAGGAATATTCCATTTTTAGTTCTTGCATCATGACAAGACAGGTTCAATAACTAGCAAGCTACCAGATCCCCTATTTCCATCAGTTTCTAGACATCAGGTGTTACTCGATATTATGAGACACGTTGTGAGTCACACTAAATTTTGTGCCTCATCTGTCAGGCACAGTAGTACGTTAACAGCCTCTTTCTGTTGTTGGCCCAGTGTCTCTCTCAAGGCCAAAGCTCACAGTCAGATTCACGGTTATGATGTGCCAATTTCTGTAGCCAGCTAGGGAACAAACCAGAGTAAATGGTGAGGTACTCAGTTACAAGTGGGTCAACAAGAGTTGGTCTTCTGCAAAGCTCCAGAGCAGAGTTCCCAACCAGATTTGACAGCTGTCACCATGACATAGCAACAATTTCATCAGCTTCTCCAGACTGACTCTGAGCCATCTACTGCTCACCAGTGCTCCATCTTTTCCAAGCACTGGGGCACTTACTTCTTTGTCCAGACTTAGTGGCATGAAAAGGGACAGCTGAGCTCTGTTAGCACAGCAACCTTCATCTCCTGGTTAACTTTCTATTGAACTCCTTTATACTGATGTGAACTTTATTGAGGGTCTGGAAATCACCCCAACTGGCAAGTAACTGGTTGTTAATAATAATATGAATTGATAGAAGCTTTACCAGGCAGAATGGGAGGAGCACATGCTGGCAAATCTCACCAGAGAAAAGCAACATAGATCAGTACATTAGTCATTACAGAGAAAATAGTTGTTATGAGGACAAGGTGAATATTTTTTTTTGGCAAAATCCTACCTTCAGTAAAGATGAATTTTCAGGCTAAGCACTCGGTGTCATTGCAAAACCAGCTAGGCAATGTGGAGACCACTAATCTTCCTAGTTGGGTGATTCCCAAGCTAGGTTTACGGTATTGCTCTGGGAAATGCGGTATCTCAGTTCAGTGCTCTTTCTGTCTGATTTGAACTGGGATCTTCCACCTCCTGGAAGAGTGCCTTTGCCACTGGGACATACAGTATTTTGTATCTGAGTACTTCTCAGTCTGTCCTGGAGGATTTTCACCTTATGCAGAGAAAACATGACGTTTTGGGTGGGGGGACATAAGTGCAAATCACAGAATCATGGAATCATTCAGACTGGCAGGGATCACAGGAGGCCTCTGGCCCTTGACAAAGCAAGGGAGCTCTGAGCTCAGACTGGGTTGCTCTGCACTTTGTATAGTCAAGGCATAAAAACCTCCAAGAATGGAGATAATGCAACCTCTCTGAACCCCAGCTGCATTGCTTGGCTGTCCTCTTGGACTGATTTTTTTTGTTATGTCCAGTTGAATGTTGCCTGTTTCCATTTATGACCAATTTCTCTCACTTGGCAACCTCCTTGTGGGTACAAGGGCTGCTGTTGGGTGCCTCCAAAGCCATCCCTTCTCCTGGCTAAACCAGTTCCACTCCCATAATTTCTCCTCACAGGGGAAGAGCTCCAGCCTCTGGCTGTCTTCATCCACTTCTGCTGAAGTCACACCAGCTTATTGATATCTGTCCTGTACTGGAGGGGAGCACAGCTACACATAGTGCTCTGGACATGGTTGAACAAGTGCTGAGTAAAGGGACACTATACCCTCGGACGTGGGGTCTCTCCTACTTCCAGTGACCAGTAAGAATGATCTGAGGGAAGGTCTCTGTTCAAGACTGTGGGTTGGGTTCAAAAAGTGAGGATTTGAACTTCAGCCTGTCACCACTGGGTTACTGCACACAGAAAAGGTGTGGACACTCCCTTCTCCCCTGTTTTGCTTATCCAGCCTTCTGTTTCTGCTTTTCCTGCGCTTGTATAAAAATACTCCAAAGATATTAAATTTTGACTAAATCATTAATTTATTTTTGTAAAGAAAGGTTTTATATCAAACAGAAAACAAGTTCCCCTGTGCTTTCTGTGGGGATGGAATAATTTAAAAAATCAACCCATGGGAATCTGTCTTTGCCCACTCTGTGGAAAAGGGTTTGGTGACTGGAGACCTTGCTAAACAGCAGCCAGTGACTGTGAGACCCCAGAAGACCCCTAAAATTCATTCCTGATTCCTAGAAAACAGTAATGGAACTAAGTGCCATCACCCTTCAGGCTCCATTCCTCTTCCCATCCCCTCCATCTTTGGTAGTAATCTGTGCGAGAGCCTGGACTACACGTAGCTGTATGCTTGGAAAGCAGCTTCTGATCTTCTGCCATACCCTGCTGTGCACCTGCTTAATGTTCATAATTAATACTTACAATGTATAACTTAGCGCCTTTCATTAGACTAATGAAAGACTGGATCATGCTGTGCTGAAGTTCCTGTGAAATTAGTCAGGAAGTACCATGCAGTAATGCATGAATTTCCTGGAATTTATTTTAATCTGTTTATTACAAAAAAACATTCTTTAAACAAAGGTGCCTTGCAGCTGATGCTGCTATAATCTTAAATAACCCTTAAAATTGGGTCGTCAGCTGTGATTCCTCCGTGGAATTTCTCTATGAGTAAGCTCTTCTAAAGCTTAATGTGAAGTCTGGTTTGGAATATATCTAAATCACAGATTCACATCACAGAATTATGGGTTGGCAGGTACCCCTGCAGATCATCTAGTCCAAACTCCTGCTAAAGCAAGGTAAGCTACAGCAACTTTACCAGGACTGTTGTCCACTTGGGTTTTTAATATCTCTAAGAATGGAGACTGCAACACCTGCCTAAGAAACCTGCTCCAGTGTTTAACTCTTCAAACAATAATAAATATTTTTCTTCTGTTTCAGTGGAATTTCCCATGTTTCAGTTTGTGCCCGTGGCCTCTTGTCCTGTTACTGGCCACCACTAGGACAGTCTGACTCTGTCTTCTTTTTTCCCCCATCAGGTATTTGTATACACTAAACTCCACCATCTCATGTTCACTGCAGCCATGACTGCTCCCAGCACTCACATTTCCAACCAGTTTTTCTGTGGAAGTATCAGGAGCAACAGAACTTCTCCCCTCTTTGTCTCCTCAGTCACCCCTGTCAGGAGATTGTCATCAGTGCAGTCCAGAAAATTCCCGAATTGCTTCTGTTCTGCTGTATTAACCCTCCGGCAGATATCAGCATGGCTGAAGTCCCCCATGAGGGCCAGGGGACATGAAAGTGATTTTCCTGAGCACGTGCTCCGTAGCAGACACCTGGTACAACATGAACCATGTGTGTAAACCGTCCCGAGGCAGAACTCCACACGCTCCCGCTGCTCTCTCATACAAAGGGCAACTCCATCTCCGCACTTTCCCAGCCTGTCCTCCCTAAGGAGCCTGTATCCACCCACCACACCACTCCGGTCATGCGAGCTATCACAGCACATCACTGTGACTGCAGTGACACCATAGCGCTGCAACCGCACACAGACCTCTAATTCCCCCCGTTGGCTCCCCATGCTGCAATGGATAATTAAAGGGTAAAGGCTGCTTGCAGCTTAAATTATGAATTCCAAAAGAGAAGGTGAAAAAAAATCCTATTTTAACCTATACTTCATTCTTCCTATTTACAGAAAATATTTAGTATATATATAGAATAAAAACACCATAACCAATAAACAAACAGATGCGATTTTTCGTCCAGCTTAATCCAAAGACCTGTGGAAGCACTAGGCATTAGACAGAAACAGCAATTAATGCAAGGGAATATATTATTGAATACTATAGCCAATTATTTTTTTAATTTTGTCTAATAACCCCTTTTGGGGAAATCACTACACTTCAGTTTTACGTTACCTTGAAATAATACACCATGCTGAATTTTGTTTTGATGACAGACAGAAAAAGGTAGGGAGAAAGAAGACTCCATCTTTGCTCATGAGACAGCTGTAAGCCCAAGCAGCATTGCACCCTGTTGAGAGCCCATCCCAGTACTGGGAGCCGAGATACC